GAGAAGAGCCAGAAGGGCCACGCCCTCCGCCGCCCAGAACACCTCAGGAAACGTGGAATCAGTATGTGGCACCAAGGATAGCTCTCCTCTCGGAGAGCATAAAGTGACTGACTGCTCTCTTTTGTTGAGAAGACTCTGCCGTCGACCCGTTGCTGGCCGCACCAAGCCACTTATCTAACTCATCTGCTGGTTCAATATTTATGATTTACTTTTACCACGTTGCTTCTCCGACCAGCTAAGAGGAAAGGGGTTAAAAAAATCAAAATGCTGCTGCTTCTCATTTCCCACACTCAGAACACCTCAGAGAAAGTCTGACCAACCTGAGGAATAATACCAGAGAGAATAAGGAAGATTTACAGAAGACAGGTTTTTAGGCCATGGCAAGTTCCTTGACTTGAGATTTGAGGACTCACCATGAAAGTTGAGTTTTTTGTTGTAATCTTGTTATATAGTTAGAGAAATAAAATGAAAAAAAAAAAATTAATCAGGAGGCAAGAAATAACAGTCAACTCATATCAGAGCTATACTTAAGCATTAAATTAAACGTAAGAGCTTAATGTGAGAAGAAAAAAAATGAACTCTAAACCTACTAGAAAATAAAATATATTGCTTATTGAAAATAAACGATTCTTGGGCGCCTGGGTGGCGCAGTCGGTTAAGCGTCCGACTTCAGCCAGGTCACGATCTCGCGGTCCGTGAGTTCGAGCCCCGCGTCGGGCTCTGGGCTGATGGCTCAGAGCCTGGAGCCTGTTTCCGATGCTGTGTCTCCCTCTCTCTCTGCCCCTCCCCCGTTCATGCTCTGTTTCTCTCTGTCCCACAAATAAATAAAAAACGTTGGAAAAAAAAAAATTAAAAAAAAAAAAAAAGAAAATAAACGATTCTTCTTTGAGGGAAAATTCCATTTCCAAAGGAGTAAAAGCAGCACACAAAATTAAGATGGCATTCATAAAAGCCCAACATCTACTTTTGAAAATCAACCCATTGTAGTTTTTACGGTTTACAGACAACTCTGTAAACAAGAATAACTCAATTGAACCATATACAACTTCATATCGTTTATGCCTAAAAAGAAAAATATAGGTGTTCTTTCTAACAAAGGTGGGAAAATTCACATTTTTATGGAAGACTGAGGAAATATTAATTAAAAGCAAATCAAGTCGGCTAAGCATCCGGCTTCGGCTCAGGTCATGATTTCATGGTTTGTGGGTTTGAGTCCTACATCAGGCTCTGTGGGGACAGCTCGGAGCCTGGAGCCTGCTTCAGATTCTGGGTCTCCCTCTCTCTCTCTCTACCCCTTCCCGCTCACGCTCTGTGTCTGTCTCTCAATAATAAATAAACATTAAAAAAAATTTTTTTAAATAAAATAAAAAAAGCAAATCAAGTGCCATAGTATTGTACTGAGTACAAAAGGCTCAGGTGCCCCTTTGGTGCTGTTCCTCAGCTCTGCGATTAAGACCACAGCTAACGCTCACAGACACATGACTGGGTAACTCACGGCCTCATATTAAGAAACCAAGTCTTGGTTTTCATAAACGAATATAAGACATGAATGAACATAGAAACAATTAGATGGATTCTTTATAATTCAGTCAATGTGGGAGGTGTTAAAATGTAAAAAACATTTAAATGTATGTATCAAGAGTTTTTAAAATATGCAATCGGCATGAGCTATTACCAAGTTTCACTTATATCTCCCTTGGTTTTTGGAAGGCCATTCTGCCAGCCACAGTCCCTGATGAGGAGACCCAAGTAGACCCGGAAAGGGGATTCTACGTATAGCAAGCTTCTTACTTCCTACCCCAGGCACTTAGGAGTTGAACTAGAAGATGAACAGAACAGAAGGAATAGATACAATGAAGGGTGAGCACCAAACCTAGATACGTGGCAATATAAAAATAGAGGTCATCTCTGTCTTGAGGTTCATAGAACTTCAGGTAGATGTCAGAACAGAGGTCATCTTCGGTGCAAAACACTTCCAAGCCCTATAAATTCAGAAAGAAAACAGTAAAAGTAAATAGCGTTGTATTTACCCTGTAATCTCAAAACAAGCTACGTAAGTACAAAAGCCTTTCAATTAAACATTTCTGTTTTTTATCTATAGGTCTTATTTATTTATAATCTCCACATATAAATTTGATTTAGTGACGTGTGTGTGTGTGTGCGTGCGCACGCACACAGCTCATCTGAAAGAAAGACTCAGAGTCAATGTGCTTATGACAACATACCTGCACTTTTCAATCACGCCCTGGGTGTGTACAAGTGGAGAAACCACTGGCTAACCTGAAGACATGACAGTCCTCCATCCAGAAGGGACACTCCACACGAACTCACCAAAGGCATGAGGCCATGTCTCCTCTTGTAAATGCGGCGGACATCCTGAAGTGTTATCTGCACCACGGGTTTCTTTAAAAGTAGAAAGGCAGCTTCAGACATCAACACTCTGACACAATTAGAAGCTGTCCTTTGGTATCAGAAAGGTGAAAAAAAGGGCCAAATCTTGCTTTTCCAAAGCGTTACATGTGAACAACTGGAAAGGGAGATTTTATGGGGCGCCCGGGTGGCTCAGTCGGTTGAGCATCTTGGTTTCAGCTCAGGTCATTATCTCACAGTTTGTGGGATCGAGCCCCACATCGGGCTCCGTTGCCGACAGTGTGGAGCCAGCTTGGGGTTCTCTCTCACCTTCTCTCTCTGCCCATCTCCCACACAGGCACACAGACGCACTCTCTCCACTTCTGGTTTTACATGCTGCTCTGCCCTTTTTCTTTTCCTTTTTTTTTTTTTTTTATTTGTTTTTAAAATGTTGATTTAATTTTGAAGGAGAGACAGAGCACGAGCAGGGCAGAGACAGAGAGAGTGGGAGGCACAGAATCCGAAGCAGGCTCCAGGCTCCAAGCTGTCAGCACAGAGCTGGATGTGGGGCTCGAACTCACAAGCTGTGAGATTGTGACCTGAGCCGAAGTCGGATGTCCAACCAACTGAGCCACCCAGGTGCCCCTGGTCTGCCCTTTTTCACGAACTTTGTGACCTTGGATGAGTTCTGTTACCTTCACTCAGTACCCAAAATATGATAAATGTGCTAATCTATCGCTCAGGATACTGCCAGGCTGCTGCTGAGTGACAAGAATATTAACGTGCTGGTACAGGTAACTTCTCAGGAATTTGCTTTTTTTTTTTCAACGTTTTATTTATTTTTGGGACAGAGAGAGACAGAGCATGAACGGGGGAGGGGCAGAGAGAGAGGGAGACACAGAATCGGAAACAGGCTCCAGGCTCTGAGCCATCAGCCCAGAGCCCGACGCGGGGCTCGAACTCACAGACCGCGAGATCGTGACCTGGCTGAAGTCGGACGCTTAACCGACTGCGCCACCCAGGCGCCCCAGGAATTTGCTTTTTATAGATCAATGGTTTGCTTACAACTGACACAGTACATCTTTTTTTATTTCTGTAATCATCTTTATTTCTGTAAAAACCACATTGTGTTAAGGCTCACAAACAACTACACTATTAAGCAAGTCCTCTAAAAGTTTTGTTCTTTATGAGGAAGAATATTTTCTTGCTTCTCTAAAGGCTTAAAACACTAGTAAGGGGAGAGCAAGGTTAGAAAAGCCACTGAGGGGTCCCTGGGTGGCTCAGTCAGTTAAGCCTCCAACCCCAGGTTCCGTTCTGGGTTTCAGCTCAGGTCATGGTCTCACAGGTCATGGGACTGAGCAGCCCCACATCCGGCTCCATGCTGACAGGGCAGAGCCTGCTTGGGATTCTCTCTCTCCTTGTCTCTGTGCCCCTCCCCAACTCTCTCTCCCTCTCCCTCCCCCTCCCTCTCAAAATCAATAAATAAACTTAAAAAAAAAAAAAAAAGCCACGGAGATTGGCTAAAAGGTGACACATCTGTGCTTTTCCGGAATGAGAGGGAAGAAGAGCCCACAGAGGCCAGGATGCGCAACTGTGGAAACTGCCTGAAGACTGGTCAAGGATCCTAGCCCAGAGATTTGGGAGGGGATGTATGCTCATACTGTGGATTCTCAAGCTATGGCACATACTCAGATATTTTCCTACAGTTTTTGGACCCAAGCCACAGTAACAGTAGCGGCCAAGCCAAGTATTACACCAGGAGAGAACGCCCATCAGCAATGCGTAGGGTCTACTGCAGGGCTCGGTGAGGGTGCCCCGCCACCTGGTGGACAAAATTGTCATAGCACCACTTTTCACACAAAAGTATTAGATGTTTTAGTGACATAGTGACTGAGTGACCAGCCTGGAGAATTTCCAGGATGCAGCATCCTACGACAGAAAACACGTTCTTTAAGCTGAAAGTCGCACCAAATGGTCCGACTGCCTTATCATGGTGTATTAGGATTTCTGTTCTTCTAATGAACCAGGCCAAAAAGGGGTGAGATCCAGAGAAAGCTACAAATCTTTACAAACTTTTAGTGTGAAAATCTGAGTTCAAGTTCACTTTCTGGCCCAGTAAGCCTAAAGTCATTGTGAAAGAGGAGCCTGTTTCCAGAGCAGAAGCACTACAGCTGCCCCATTCCAGCATCCACACACACCCCGTGCTAGCTGGCAGAGGGCCACTTCATTCGCTCCTTTGCGTATGGAGACCTACTGAGTTTGTTCCTAATTAAAGAAAAACAAAATATCCCGCATATACAAACGCATTAACAGATGTACAGAAAACATCCATTTCTCGAAGTGCTTCCGAGTAGAAAGCTGTAACAAACCTCCACTGACTCTTCACTAAAAGCGGGAGGGGCAGGGTTTCTTTTCACCGCACTGAGAACAAGTGATCCCCAAATTACGGAAAAGACATCAGAAGAGCTCAGATCTGGACGAGCAGGCCTCGAGATGACACGGGGAGGCCTGTTAAACACGCAGCTGCTGGAGGGGAGGGGGCGGATTCTGATCCTCGCCAGGACAGGGGAACACTGTAACCGCGAGGTCAGGCTCCCAGGGAGGATGAGTGGTCTGGTGCTAACACAGCCGTCCTGCTGACCCTGTGTCCTTCCTCACCGGGTGGCCGTTGAGAGGCTGGAAATACAGGTTTGTGTCCGTGATGCACACGTGTCCAGGGTTCGTCACCAGCGGGGTCACCATTTCTGCCTGGCATTCCATGTGCAGCTTTTCAGAAACACTCTGGAATCTGACAATACAGTTTGCAGCAAAAGCAAGAAAAATCAGAAATCAATCGAATTTCTAGGTTTAACTTTCTCTAAGGGAGCTATATAGCCTGACTATGCACGAGGTGTCTAAACGACATTTAATGCAAGAACAACGGTAATCTAAATTGGTCGCTGAAATAAAACTGGCGTTCTTTACACAAACAAAACCCTGACGTTCTTTTAAATGGCATAACGAAAATTAAAAAAACAACAACAGATGAACTTATGTGGCATAGAACACAGACAAGTAAATTATACTAAATAATCCCTTGTAGCTCAACTCTTCTTCCTCCCAACATAAACTGGCCTTGAAACCGTTATTTTTAAGTTTATTTGTTTTGTGAGAGAGCGCGCGCACGGCAGAAGGACAGGGAGAGAGGGACAGAGAATCCCAAGCAGACTCCGTGCTCTCAGCAAAGAGCCTGACGCAGGGCTCGATCCCACAACCATGAGATCATAACTAGAACCAAAACTGTCGGGCGCTCAACTGACTGAACCACCCAGGTGCCCTGAAACTATTCTTAGATTAACGTATTTTGCTGTTTGGGGGCCACTAAGCCCTATTTTTATAGTCCCATAAGTCTTCTGGCGTAAATGGCATTTACTTCACATTCTACTTTAGGAGGCTATGAGTATATAATTACAATCACTTGCATGTCAGTTCCAAGGTAGTTCTTTTGTGGATTTACTGCAGAAAAACCAGTCACACATGATTTTTCCACTACCTCCTCCTAAATCGTTTAGTCAAAAAAGCCCATTTTCTTTTTTTTTTTTCTTTTTACTAATTAAAACAAAATAGAGGGGAAACAACCATGTCATCGATATTTTAAAGCAATTCCTTTGTAAAAGTAACTGGGATAAAAATAAATCTTCCCTGGGGCATCTTGGTGGCTCAGACGGTTAAGCATCTGACTTCAGCTTCAGGTCATCATCTCCTGATTCGTGGGTTTGAGCCCCGTGCAGGGCTCCGTGCTGACGGCGGGGAGCCTGCTTTGGATCCCCCATCTCCCTCTCTCTCTGCCCCTCCCCTGCACATGTGCACACATGGGCTCTCTGTCTCTCTCTCAAAAATACATAAATATTAAAAAAAAATCTCCCCTGCAAGTAACAATGGGACAAAAGCCCGCGGGACAGACTTGAGGTTCCTTGAGAAGTCAAGGGGAACCTCAAGAGCCCTCACCCTCACCACAAAAACCAGCTGGAGGGCTACACAAGCCTTTTACAAAGCCACCAGAAAGCTTAGATGCAAAGAAACCTAAAAGAAGAGAGAAACAGCTGGGTGGTGGGAAGAGGAATGACCTGTGTTAGAAGGGGAAGGGCTGCGGGATGGAGAGAGGGCCGCAGGGAAGCAGAAGGCAGAGTCAGGACTGAGAGTGGAGGTGCAAAGATGCTGCCAACCGGGGGGGAAGCAGAGGGAGGTCGCCCCCGGCTCCGAAAGCAGGTGGTTCAGCTCCACGGCATAAAGATGGCTCTAGGGATCCTCTGAGGGCTCGGATCCCAAGCCCTGCTGGAAGGAAGCCTCAATCGCCCGCAGCAGAGGCGGGGAATGGAACGAGGGCTGCAATGAAGCCCTGACCGCCCTCGATCGGGGGTCACATGGTCAGCACCCTGTCAGAGCCTCAGCACAGGTGGCCGGACAGAAGAAGGGGGCGCACAACTACTTTTGGAGGTAAATGGTATTTAGTTCAGTCTCCACGGTTCTTTTTAAAACCCAACACTCAGCACACGATAACAAGTTACAAGAAACACAAAGAATCCAGAAAATATGACCCATGCTCCTGAGAGGAAAGATTCAATGGAAGATGACTCAAGGTCGGATCCGCCACAGGGAGACTTCAAGATCATAAACACACTAAATATCTAGAAGATGAAGAACATATGGGAAGAGAAAGGGAATTTCACCGGAGGAATCAAAACTAGGAGAAAGAACCGAGGAAACGCTAGGAATGAAAAATCTGGATGGGAGAAATGAAGACTTAATTAAACAAGCTGAACAGACCGGACATAGCAGGGAAGAAGTCGGGTCAGGCTGAAAATGGGGAATAAAAAGTGGCCTGAAACAAAATGATAGCAAAAAAAAAAGAACAGGACAGAGTATCCGACGGCTGAGGGAATATACAAAACACACAGACATAGGCATAACTCCAGTTCCAGGGGAAGAGACTGAATACGGGGCAGAAGAAATACCGAGGGAGAGCATGTGGAAGAACCGATAAGAGACACGGGTTCTAGACTCATGTTACCCCAAAACCTTGAGGTCCCCAGGCAGGATGAGCACAGAGAAAAGCACACCTTACGTGCAGGCAACGGGACGACACATGACGTGACTCCACAGCAAACAGGGGGCACCAACATACAAGAGAACACAAATCTCTAAAATCGTGAAAAGAAAACCAAGCCGGAATTCCTCCATATCCAACAAAAATGCCCTTCGGAAATGAAGGGGAAATAAAGATATATTCGGAGAGACCTACTCCGCAAGAAATCCCTGAACAGGCCTGCACTACAAGAAGTGTGACAGAAAGTTCTTCAACCTGAGGAGAAAGGAGACGAGATTATTATTTATTTTTTTTCAATGTATGAAATTTATTGTCAAATTGGTTTCCAGACAACACCCAGTGCTCATCCCCACAGGTGCCCTCCTCGATACCCACCACCCGCCCTCCCCTCCCTCCCACCCCCATCAACCCTCAGTTTATTCTCAGTTTTTAAGAGTCTCTTATGGTTTGGCTCTCAAAGGAGACTAGATTAAACACATTGGAGTTGCAGAATGAGTACATGTTTAAATATCTGAGTATATGGAACAAGATGTATTTTTCTGTATATTTAGTTTACGTATACACACGTACGTAGCTAAATTCTTTTAAAAATCAAATGATTTTTTTTTTTTTGAAGCAAAAATAAGAACACTGTGGTTATGGGCTTCATGCTAGATGTAGAAATTTAATATAAGACCATAAGATCAGGTCTTATGGGCAGGAGAGGCCATATGGAAATACACTGCTGTAAAGCTCTTACATTGTTGTAGAGTAGTGTAATATTATTCAAGATACACTATGGTCCCAGGTGCCTACTGTAATCTCTAGAGCAACCACTAAAAATGATACAAAGTGGCACAGCTTAAAAAGTCAAGACAGTAGACAAAATGGACTACTTAGAAATATTAGATTTACCCCAAAGAAGGCAAGAATGGAGAGTCAGAAGGGCCAAGAACGAATGGAATGCTAACAAATACTGAGATAGTGGATTTAAAAGCAACTATATTAATAACACATAATTACAAATGAATTAAGCATCCCAATTAAAAAGGGAGGGTGTCAGACTGCATGAAAAGCAAGACTCAACTACATGAAGTGTGTGTTGTTTGGTAACAGAATGAAGACACAGACAGGTTACAAGTAGAGGGACAGAAAAGGAAATACCATGCCATCATACCATATGAGGAACTGGTATGGCCAGATTAGGAGAGGACAAAGCAGACTTCAAGACAAATGGATAAAGAGGGATACTTCATAATGATGAAGGGTTCGGGGCATCAAGAAGACATTACACATCTAGGGCGCCTGGCTGGCTCAGTCGGTTGAGCATCTGACTCTTGAGTTCGGCTCAGGTCATGATCTCGTGGTTCGTGAGACTGAGCCCTGTGTCGGGCTCTGGGCTGATAGTGCAGAGCCTGCTTGGGATCCTCCCTCCCTCTCTCCCTCCCTCTCTCCCTCCCTCTCTCTCTCTTTCACCCTCTTCCACTCATCACGTTCTCTGTCTCTCTGTCAAAATAAACATTTGAAAAAAAGAAGATATTACACATCAAAATGTGCGTGAACCCAACAATATAGCTTCCTAATATACAAGCCATGAACTGACAGAAATGGGAGGGGAATAATCCCACAATCATTACTGGCAATTTTAACACCCTTCTCGCGGTAACTGATAAAACAAATCAACAAAAACTTGACAGAGTATAGATGATCAACCATCAGCTAGGTGGAACCAAATGGCATTTACTCAACACTATATTCAACAACTGCCCAGCACACCTTCCTTTCAGGGACATACGTAGCTTTCACCAAGACAGCCCATAAGCTGGGCTGAAAGCAAATCTCAACAGTACCAAAAGACTGGAGTCATATGGAACGTATTCTCTGAACCAAGATGGTATTTAACTAAATGTCAGTAACAATAATAACAAAATCCCCAAATAGGCTGAAGTTAAATAACACACTTCTAAATAATCCATGGGTCGCAGAAGAGATGGCACGGGAAATTACAAAATATTTTTGCAGTAACGACAGTGAAAACATAAAATGTGTGGGCTGCAGGTGAAGCAGTGCTTAGAAGTCAATTTACATGTAAGTACAAAAAGAAGGTCTAAAATTGCTGATCTGATTTTTGTAAGAAGCTACAAAAAGAACAGTTAAACCCAAAGGAAGCTGAAGGAAGGAAATCAGAAGAGGGGAAATCCATTTTATATAAAATAGAAAAGTAGAGAAAAATCAATAAAGTCAAAAGTTGGTTCTTCGAAAGGTTAATAAAATTGACAAAGTCCTGGAAAAGCTGGCAAAGAAAGAAAAGAGAAAACACACAGCTTCAATGTAAGGAATGAAAGAGGGATGACCATCATGACAGATCTTACTGACATTAAAAGGACAATAACAATTTCACACCAATAAATGTGCCATGAAGTGGACAAATTTTTTGAAAAACACAGCGTAACCAAAACAGACACAGGAAGAAACAGACAACATACACAGTCTCATGTCTAGTAAATAAATGAGTAAGAGCCCTCAGGCCTATATGGCTTTACCAATGAATTCTGTTAAAAACTTAAGAAAGAAATACAATCTGACCAGCAGTCTTTCAGAAAACAGGATGACGGAACATTGCTAAACTCATCTGATGAGGCCAATAGAGAACCCTGATAGCAAATCCCGACAGATACATTAAAGATTTATGGAGCAACATCCCTCATGAACATAGAGGCAAAAATACTTTACAAAATACTAGCAAAGCAAACCTAGTAATATCAAGTAATAAAAAAGGAGAATATATTATGATCAAGTTGGATTTATCCCATGAATAAGGTTGGTTGAACATTGAAAAAATCAATCAATGTAATTCACAACATTAACAGAATAAAGTGGAAAAAAAATGATCATTTCAAGAAGTGCAGAAGAAAAAATTAACAAAACTCTAAACCTATTATTGAAAATGCTCTCCGCAAACCAGGAATAAAATGGAGCTTCCTCATTCTGATGAAGGGCATCTATAAAAAACCTAGAGCTAGCCTCATTCTTCAGCGGTGAAACAAACCCTTTTCCAGTAAGATCAAGGACAGGGCAAGTATGTGCTCCCATCACATCCATTAATTAAACGGCACAATGAGGCAAAACGCAGAAATAAAAGCCATGAGGATTTCTGTGAAACTGTCATTATTCACAGATGAAACGATTATGTATACAGAAAACTACGCAATTTACAGAAACCCACCAGGACTAATGAGTAAACCTGGAAATGTCACAGGATACACGGTGGATGTAAAAATCAAAGCAGGCAACAACAACAACAACAACAAAACACTGTATTTCTACATACCAGTAACAAATAATTGGAAGAAAACATTTAAGTAGCAACAAAAGATCTCACAAATCTAGGAATCTGTCCAACCAAATATGACCACATCGACAGACTAACCATATAACAACAGGAGAAAGCAGGTGAGTTGTAGAACTCTGTGTGCTATCTTTACACCTTTCCTTTATACCCCAAATTAGTCCAAAACAAAAGACTTTCAAGGGGATTTTTGGGGTATGGGGGCAACTTGAATATGACACTATAAATTACATGATGCTATAGAATGATTGCCACTTGAGTACTGTAACAAAATGGAGGGGTGCCAGAGAAGATCCTTGTAAAAGACACAAGTTGAGATAGTTATGGGTAAAGTGTCATGTCTTGCAATGTAATTTCTAGTGATTCTGAAAAAGAATATTTTATAGGTAACACATTTACGTACAAGTACACACGACTTATAATGTATATACACATATATGTAAGTATAAAGGAAATATAAATATCAGACATACACCCACACATACACACACACATATATATACACACACATACACTTGTACACACACAAACACAGAACGTGCAAGAACTAAAGCAAATCTGACAAAATATTAACAAATTAAGCCTTGGTGACTCATAGGGTATCTCTGTTCATTATGTTATTCTTCGGACTTGTGAGGATTTGAAAATTTTCAGAATGAACGGTAGAGAAAAATAAATGTAGTTATCTTTTATTTCTTCAATAAGAAAGTATTTCCTTGGAACTATGATGGTCAAAGTTTACCTTTCTTTGAGAGGAAGTATACCACACGGGAATATCGCATTTTATACAGTAAAAGTTTCTTCTCTAAATTCTTCAGCCTAACATTTTGGAGGCTGGATTAAATTAAAACCTCCACAGTGAGCCATTTTTAAAATTAATGCGATGCTGAAGCCCAGGACTGAAAAAATCGCTACTCAGAATTATGCATTCTAAGTAGGTCAAGAGAAGCTAATTCTTCTTATTCCTTTTCCTTCCTAAAAAGGAAGCTATTCTTCCCGTGGCAATCCATTTACCTAAAATATCCTGCAAGTATTAAAACAGAAAGAAAAATTAATGCTTTGTAGGTGAAGCAGAAAGAGAAGCAAACAAACATACACAGAGAAACATTATTGGCCAGATGGCTTTCCTGGCAAGTGCTTCAACACTCTAAAATGTAGTGTAAGGTCACAAATCCCACAAAGATAGCAATAAAACAGAATATTACAAACTAATCTCATTTATAAACATAAGCCTGGAGCAAAAGCCTGGCATATGATAATCCACAAATGAGTCTATTCAACCAATACTTTCTACGTTGTCTTAAGCTGGAGTCATTACAAATGCAGGAATCTAAAGTAAGAATCTAAAATAAAAATGGTATTTAGTGAACAGGGACTGTAATAATTTATGACAAGATTTTGTACATATTAAAGAATTTACATATAAAGTTAATGGCACTGATCACGAAGTTTAGCCACAAACTGAATACACAAAAATCCACTGCATTCCACGTATCAACAATGAACAGGAAAGGAATCTTTAGGACATCATTTACAACACTGTCAGAAATACGAAGTCCCTGGAATAAATCTAACACAAGTGGGGAAAGACCTTTACAGAGAAAATCATAAGGAAGACGTTAAAGAAGGCCTAAATAAATGAGTGATTCATTGCAATCCCAATCAGAATCCCAGCGGGCTTTCTTTTATGGAACTTCACAAGCTGTTTTTAAATGTATATAGAAGTGCAGGATAAGGCCAAGAATAGCGAAGACATAAACTGAAAAGGAAAATAAAGTGTGAGGCCCTGAACCTGTAAATATCAAGAGTTCTTATACAGTTACAATGATTGATACAGTGGTATTAGAGAGGAAATGCAGATCTACTTAATAGAAGGCAAGAAACCAATAAGAACACAGGTCTGTACAAAAAGCATAATTATTTGCAGGAAATATGTTGTATACTTAGAAAAGCTGAGAAAATCAATGAAAAAAATCACTGGACTAGTAGGAATATAGTTTCCCAGTCCCCACAGGACACCTTAGTAAGGTACCTATCACAGCTTGAAGGGTTGGATAAGACTTTCCAGAACAACTGGACACAAGTGACTTCAGCCAAGCTGAAATCAGAAGAATAAGTAAGAGTCAGCCAGATGCAAAAGAGGAAGGAGGCTGAATGCTCTCAGTACAGGGAACATGCAGGAAGGCTCAGAGGGAAGAGACCATCTGATTCAGGATCTGCACAGATGCAAAGAGCTGGAGCACAGAATTCCACAGGACACCAGCGACCACACGTACTGCACACACAAGGGCTAGAACCTAAGCCACGTAAGATTCAGACTTTACCCTGAAGGCAGCTGGAAATCCTGAAGAGTTTTAAACAGACGTGCGATATAATCAAGTTCCTTAGAAAAAGCACATTTTCAAGGCATGCTCGGTAGGGAAGAGAGAATAGGAAAAGGGAAGACTGGAGTCAGGTGGACAAGCTCACAGCCGCTACAGTGTTCTGAGTGAAGGCAGTGGAGGCCTGAACTCCGGCAACAGCAGGGTGAAAAGACGGAAGTTGACGGCCTAGAAAGATCTTAGTGAGCATCAGTCCACAGGCCTGTCTGGCTGACCCAAGTCAGGATGGAGAAGCGGAGGCAGGGACATTCCCGACAACACGCAGATCTGGGGGCCCGGGTGGTGACATCGGTGGTCTGGGACAGGCCAAAGGAGGCACACGGATCAAAGACATCTGCTGCTTTTAGAATCTGGGAACGAAATCATTAAAAACTTACCTGTTCTTGTCAAATGATGTCCTAGCCAAACGCGACTGCAAAATAGCGGTTATCTATTAAAACAGAACCATTAAAAAATAAGGATTTAGGAGTGAAACCTCAATACAATTTAATTCACGAAAAAGACACCGATCTCTAGAAACTCTTACCATAGCAGTTTGGTCCCCAAGTTTGTCAAGGCAGGACGCTCTGTGAAGCTACAATATACAAATGTACAAGAATTTATTTTTTTTTTTCTCCGAAACGATACAAAGATATTTCCTTAGAAGCAATGAAAACCAGCAATCATTCTGTTCCTCGGTAACAGGTAAGATCTGTGACTTCTTCCTAACATACAGTTTTCAAATGCAACATATTCAAGTAAATCTGCTTCATATTTAGAAAAGAAATTATGGTTTTAGAGAGATGTATAAATAAGATTTTTTTTTCTTTTTTTAAGTTTCTGCCTAAGTGTGCTTTGAATTCTCTGCCCAGGGAATGCCCGAGGAAGGCGCTGGCTTACCTGAAGCAACGTTTCCACGACATCTTCCACTTTCCCTGAAACATCCAATTCAAAAACATACTCCATTGTGCCCTAAGAAGAAGGGAAACAAATCAAATCAAGGGAAGAGAAGAAGCCCAACCATACTACTTTAGGAACATTTGCAATGCCTCTGCTGGGCTGTGCCCGTGTCTGCCGGCTCCTCCCCCTGGAATGAGAGCTAGGGGTGGGGGAGTGGGCAGGAGCAGACCCTGCCAGACATTACTGCTACATTTATTATTTCTTCCCTTTTGCCAACTTTGGACTCAGTTGGCTGTTTTCTCTCATTTCTCGAGGTGTGTAGTTAGGTTTTTAAATCTGAGATGTTTCCTTCCCTTACTGTAGGTACGTATCACTAGAAACCTCCCCCTCAGTACAGCTTTTGCCGCATCCTGTAAGTTTAAGGCATGTTCCGTTTTCGATTTTGTCTCGAGGTGTTTTTTAATTGCCCCATTTCTTCTTTGACCCACTGGTCGTTGCTGGTAACGCCTGTGAACTTGCCTTCTGCTATGTATTTCTAGTTTTAGTCCACCACGGTCAGTAAAGATGCCTGGTATGACTTCAATCTTCTTAAATTCATTTTGTGACCTGACATGTGCTATGTCCTAGGGAATGTTCCTTGTGCTCCTGAGAAGAATGTGTATTCTGCTGCTGTTGGGTGGAGTGTTCTCTGTATGTCTCTTAGGTTCATCTGGTCTATACTGTTGTTCAGATCCTCTGTTTCCTAACTGACCTTCTGTCTGGATGTTCTACCCATTATTGAAAGTGGGGCATCGAAGGGCACCCGGTTAAGCATCAGTTAGTTAAGCATCCAACTCTTGATTTTGGCTCAGGTCATGATCTCACAGTTCGTGAGATCGAGCCTTGCGTCAGGTTCTACACTGACAGCACAGAGCCTGCTTGGGATTCTCATTCTCTCTCTCTCTCTCTCTCTGCCCCTCCCCGACTGCGTGCTCTTTCTCAAAATAAAGAGACATTTAAAAAAAAAAAGGAAGTGGGGCATTGAGATCTTTTATTTTTATTGTGTTGCTATCAATTTCTCCCTCCAATTCTGTCAATGTTTGCTTCAAACATTTAGGTGCTCAGAGGGCAGGTGAATATCTCCTGTGATGGTTAATGTGATTTGTCACATTCTCTCCTCTTAGCCCTGAGGGAGCGTCTGCTGGGCTGCACTGTCCTCCGTCTGCTGCACCACAGGTCCCTGGAGCGGCAGCCTGATGCCCAGCTTTTCCTTGTGGTCGGTGGCCCCAGGCATCTAGAGCATGCTGGGTCCTATCACTGCTCCAACACAGGCAACACTGAAGCCAGTCCCTCGGGCAGCCACCCCAACTGTCAGAACACGGTCCTGGACACATGGTTGGACACACGGTTGGACATGGTCCTGTCTTCTCCCGGGAGGAGCTGCGAGTTCCCTCCCGTCATGCGGTAGGGTATTGGGGGCGGGACTATACTGAAAGGATGTTACAAACATCCCTATTAGCTCCAGTGGGGCTGTTTCCATGCTAACCTGGGGTGCAGGGCCTCTTAACTGGTTTCCAGGTTTGTCACAAAAGGTGCTGGTGGTCCATGTATTGTTGACTGAATCAGGGTCTCCATGAGAGGAACGAGGGCTTCCTACTCCACCATCTCTCATGGTCACCACCAATGTCACTATCCCTCTTTTTCAATCTGAAAATCATACCCAGTTTACGCTGAAGCAACAGAGCTTCTGTGCTTCGGAAACCTCCCTCATCTCCTTTTACATAACTTCTCAATGGACCAAGAACAGCTTTGTGGATATCAGGAGAGCGATGGGAGGGACAGTCCCCCAGGCAGTGGGTCTCAACTTGGCAGGGGGGTGGTGGGGGTGGGCAGGGGGGGTTCCTACTACCCCAGTGCACTGAGGTCCTACTCAACACCAGGGGGAACAGTGAGTAGGGTGTTTATACCTGCAGTGTGAGGGATGCCCCCACACCATTAAGAACCATCCTTCCCCAAATGCCAACAGCACCAGTGGAGAGCAATTAAATCTCATATCTACAGTTTCTGACTGGTAAATGCCAGTGTTTCTTGTGCATAAACCTCAAAGCCACAGCATGTAGTCTGCGAGTTCCCCAAGTGCTGAGACACTGCAGGCTGGCCTATGACAGACAGAGGTTTAGCCTGTGGGGCTGTTTGCTCCGAGAGGGTGGCTTTTCCTCATTCACGGCGGTGTCCGTGTGCAGAGCACCAGCCTGAATGCAGGTCCCGTAAAAACCCTCTTTTGGTAGGAGTTATCCCTTTACTATATATTAAGCTGAAGCCAAAGAATGAAGTGATGTACAGAACGGTTAAATGTGATGCCTATGCTTCCTTGACAGGGCCTGGAAAACCAGAAATGTATGCAAGTATACTCATAGCTCTCTCAATTAAGACAATTTATAAATTATTATTCAGCTCTCAAGGGCATTTTATATCCTATAAATATTTCTTAAACATTTTAAAAAATACAGTTAGCAAATGACCTTATAAATGACACACATTCTGATTTCAATTGCTAATCTAATAGTTTAAGCTTTATTTCTCCCCCCTATTAGACACATTTATTTTTTAAGTCAAAAAGTTTATTGAAATCTCTTGGACTAAAGTCTATGGCTCCCTTGGGTAATTCTGTTATAACTGCTGGTAACAAGCTTTAAATACTCTTCATTATTCTTCTATTCGATTAAAGATGTTAATAAAATCACAAAATCTTACTGCTTAAAATCACTATATAAAGTGTTGGGAATAAATGAAAAGCTTTACTTACCCTTTCTATTTTATACGGCGCAACGATATTGTGTTCTTTAATGAAATATACCTGAGAAGGACAAATCAATTACATGTGAGATAATTAAAAATTCTCAGTAATAAGTTACTATAAATTAAGATATTATGCATCAAATTTAAATCAGTGTGAACATAATCTCTATTTCCAAAAGCACTTGCATTGCTCTTAGTATGGCTTTAAAGTTGTAGTGTTAGGATAACAAATCTTAAAAAGGGATTCAAGGCAGCAAGGTAGCAACCTTTGCCGGGTAGGTAAGATCCCTAAGATGTTTTATGAATGTCATGACCTGTAACCAGTAACCAAGCAGACAGAGGAAGGAAGCTAATCGAAGTGCCAATTTTCTAAGAAACGGGTAAAACAAAGTCACTGTGGTATGAGATATGCTTATTAACATAAAGAAACTTCTCTTCTCTGTAGGCGATCTGGGCATAGGGTGTCTTACACGCACTGGTCACCTGCCTACACTGTATGTTAGTAACCATGTCCAAGAAGCAATGCCACCCGCCAGGGCCGTCAACACGGAGCCCTACCCGTCTCCCTGCCTTCCCTCCTGCCATGATGATGGGTCTGCCCGGGCCCTCAGAAGCGGTCACTCTACTAGGCCACAAAATGTAGACCTCCCTCCACCTGCCAGCTGTTCAGAAACTCTGCTCCTATGGTGATAACGCTTGCTGTACTTTCTCACATTTGAAACAAACAAGAGATAAGAACCCTCCCTTGGGTCTTATATCCTCATTTTACTGTTTCTGTTCCTTTTTGTGGCAAAACTCTTTGCAAGAGCTGACGGTACTTTCTCTCGGGCCCTGGGTGGGTTTTTAGCCACACCACACATTACAGGGGTGAATCCACTCCTGAAGTCATAAAAGGTGCACCAGATCTCCAGGTCACCAAACTCAAGGGTCTGTTCTGAGCATTTCCTGGGTTCTGTTTCTCAGGATGGCTCTTCCTGAAGCAGCTGTCCAGCTGGCTTCCAGCCACTGGCTCCCAGCCCTCCCTGGCCTCGCCCGCTGCCCCTTCTGTCTTCCTTCAGACCCTCTCTCTTCCCAACCTCCCGCGGCAGACTTGCTGGGTTTAGTCCTCAGGCCCCTCTGTGTACACCCGGCCCCTAGAAACCTCATCCAGGCCCCGGGCTTCACCCAGCTTATGTCTGTCGCCTCAGCCTTCTCCCTGAAACCCAGACCAACGCTCCTGAGGCCCGCCAGACTTTCCCTCTCGGAGGTCACCTTCTCAACAGAGCCTGCTCTTCCCTGGGCTCCTTGACAGCAATGGAGGGCCTTACTATCCACTTTGTTGGGGGTCATTCCTGACTGTTCTCCTTTGTACATTGCAACGAACCCATCAGTACACCAGTAACCAGTACTGGTTTTTCTTCAGCATGCATCCAGACACTGGCCACCTCTCACCCTCCCATTGCTACCATCCTGGACTAAAACCTCCAGGTTCTCAATACCCCTCAAGGCTCTCCTTGCTTCCGCTCATGCCCCCTACAGCATATTCCCTACCCAGCCTCCAAGAAATTTACCAACACACACAACTCAGCTGTCAGGGGTTATTTATTCTCTTTTGTGCTTTATGTGGACTGCTTATTACCCCACAGGGCCTCCGTGACACAGAGCCCACCACCGCTCCACCTCCCTTCCCCGCTGCCCTTCATCCCTCGCCCCAGGCACGTTCACCCCCACTGAGCCTGCCACCTGCCAGGACCTTCGCCTCTCAGGCCCCCACCACTCGGCAGCTGCCTGGCTCATTCCCTCAGCCCTTCTGAGTGGTGTGCCTTCCCATGTGCCTTTGCGGCCAGGCACCGCTGACCATTCTCTCTAAAGCAGCTCCTGCCTTCCTCATCATTCTCGATCCTTTTGTCCTGTTTGCATTTTCTTCCGTACAGAAGATGTCTGCTTATTGTCTGTTGCCCCCATCAAACAGTAAAGTCCATGGGGAGAGGGGCTTTGAATACTTTATTCTTCCCTATGCCTTCAAAGCCGTGAATATATATACTGAATATATAAATGCATGAATAAAAACTATTATTTACACAAACACCTACTCTCTAAAGCCTAAAGAACCATAACATATTTCTGAAACAAGTGTGACCTCTTAAAGTAATCAAAAGCCACAAAAGTTGAGCTGCTTTATGGGGCGCCTGGGTGGCGCCGTCGGTTAAGCGTCCGACTTCAGCCAGGTCACGATCTTGCGGTCCGGGAGTTCGAGCCCCGCGTCGGGCTCTGGGCTGATGGCTCGGAGCCTGGGGCCTGTTTCCGATTCTGTGTCTCCCTCTCTCTCTGCCCCTCCCCCATTCATGCTCTGTCTCTCTCTGTCCCAAAAATAAATAAACGTTGAAAAAAAAAATTTTTTTTTAAATAAAAAAAAGTTGAGCTGCTTTCAATTGTATACTTTAGTTGATTTTGAGTTAGTCTGACACGAGACCTCTGCTACTAAGTCTGTAAATGACTGAAATGGATCATTTGTATAATGGAAACCACGCTTCCAATTGAGAAAGTACGTCTTCCTTTCAAGAAGTGGACTTTCTAGAACAAAGCTATGGTGTAGGATGATGCTACAGAAATAATGAGAGCACAGGTGCAGGGCAGAATTACGGTGCTCCCCCCACCCCACCTCCAAAGTAAGAGATGGCTTTAACTGTTTTCATTTATGCCAGGTAAAACAACAGGAAGTCAAAGATTGGCTGGTTTCAAATGTTTTCTTTCTGGAAACTAACTGAATCATGGAAGGTAGACCTAGAAAATCACCTCATCTGTTTACCTCCCTGCTTTCACAAAAACACTTTTCAATACACATTAAAAAGTGTTCCATGGGGCCTCCTGGATGGCTCAGTTGGCTAAGCGTCTAAGTCTTGACCTCGGCTCAGGTTATGATCTCACAGTTCGTGAATTTGAGCCCCATGTAGGGCTCTGTGCTGAGCACAGAGCCTGCTTGGGATTCTCTCTCTCCCTCTCTCTCTGCCCCTCCCTTGCTCGCTCTCTCTCTCAAAATAAATGAATAAACTTAAAAAAAAAAAAAAAAGTGTTCCATGAACAGAAGGGGTAGGTGATCCGAAAAAAACCCACCGGAGCAGCCTCTGCTCCAATCATCTCCCTCCTATGCTTACTTGACCGTGGAATGATTTCCCTTTGAGAAAATCCACTTCATGGAACTAGGCCTCTGCAGATAGTTGGGGCAACATGATCTCTAACCCTCTCATTTTAAAGATAAAAAAGGTAAAATCCAGAGCAAAAAGCAAGTGGGAGAGGCCCTTGACTCCTTTCTTATTTATAAGTTAAAAAAAAAAAAAAATCTATGAACGAACTAAGTATATGATGGGAGAAAACCCGTATTTTAATTTTCTTTGTGTTGCCAGCAGTAAGCACGGCACTGGGTACATCATTGTACACGGAATACATCTGGAATGAGTAAGAGGTCATGACCCCAAGCCTCATCACTGTACAAGCCGGCACATCCTGAGCTGGTGGCCTGCTGTCACCATGAGCCAAGCCGAGATCCTACTCAGTGCTGTGCTGCTGACCCCCACTGACTAAGTGGCCAGGAGGCCTGGGGGGAGGGGGGACGAGGGGGGGCTGCGGTGGTTTCATCTCAACCCACGGACACCATCATGATCCTCAGGACGAAACCACAAGCCTGCAGGCATCACACAACTTTATAAACATTAAGGATCTCATTAGTGATCACAGCTTTAAAAATATATATTTCTCGGGGCCCCTGGGTGGCTCAGCCAGTTACGTGTCTGACTTCGGCTCAGGTCACGATCTCATGGTTCGTAGGTTCGAGCCCCGCATCAGGCTCTGGGCTGACAGCTCAGAGCCTGGAGCCTGCTTCAGATTCTGTGTCTCCCTCTCTCTCTGCCCCTCCCCTGCTTGTGCGCTCGCTCTCTCTCTCTCAAAAATAAATACAAAATTTTAAAAATATTTCTCAATGGTTCAATATTAAAAGCATTTAAAGATCTGTTCCAGCAGTCTTTGTTTGAGATTTCTACCAATAATTTCACTGTGCTAAAAAAACCCAAAATGGTGTGTGCGTGTTTTTACTCAGGTTAAGAAAAAAATATTCACTATATGCTTCTTACCTGACTGAAAAGGAGTGAAATCGCCCCAGATTTTGCCCTACAATGCAGATAAAAGTTATTAAATATACAGAATTTTTTGGCAGAAGTAAAATTAAATAGTTACTGACAAAGACATACTTTGTAAAGTGTCTACTGGATCCATTTTCTTCATGTTTTCCTATTTTTATACAATCTCTCAAAGGAATCTGGATAAAATTGAGGGAGAAATATTATAAAAATAAGCAAAGGTAAGATATACACAAAGAGTAAGAATGTCTCTGTTCACATTTAAAATGCATTTACCTTAATGATGGGCTGGGATATTGCATCTGGTTCAAAAATAACTGATTTTGAACATATTTTTAAGGAGCCTCTGATTTTCCTAGGGATCAAAATACAAAGGATTATTGCTCATGAACATAACAGAAGTCACCAAAGAACTATAATACATTTTAACTAGAAAGTACATAGCCAAACCATTAACTAAAAGAACAACAATGCAATTTAAGAGAAGTGGCAGGCCAGATTTTGAACCCAAGGCCATAGTTTGCCATCCTGACCCCATTACTCATTAGGAACTGAAATTTTTATCATTCTTTCTGTGTTTATTATCTAGAATTCATTAATAGAGAACAACCTGATAGTATTTATCTGTGATCTGGTTACTCTAAAAGTACAAGTTGTACAGAGAAAGCAGAAAAACTGCTTGATTCTTTACCTTTATTTATCAATTTCCAGAAAAATGAGCTGGGGTCCCAGCATCACTGGGATGGATGGATATATATCTCATGAACTCATGGATTTTAACGGTTCTGATATGTTTCAATCACTGAGTCATTATTCTTTTCCACTGTCCAGTTTGCCCCATTTGTTGCCCAATTCTTCAAGTTGGCCCTTGTGTCTTTTCAATTCAATGTACGGTAGTTTCTGATGCTTGCCTTCCCGTCCCAACAGGACAGACATTCCAGGCTCATCTCGCACCCCTCCTGCCCCACACTTAGACTCAGCCATTTCTCCAAAGGGCCCTCATTCCTTTCAGTGGGAAGTGGTATTCAGAGAGCATAATCTCGGTGCTCAGCACGACAGGGTGGTTTCTAGGCCTTTTCTGAGGGGAGAGCTAGAAAATGCTTTCTTTTAAAAGAAAAGTGTATGTGGGGCGCCTGGGTGGCGCAGTCGGTTAAGCGTCCGACTTCAGCCAGGTCACGATCTCGCGGTCCGGGAGCTCGAGCCCCGCATCAGGCTCTGGGCTGATGGCTCAGAGCCTGGAGCCTGTTTCCGATTCTGTGTCTCCCTCTCTCTCTGCCCCTCCCCCGTTCATGCTCTGTCTCTCTCTGTCCCCCAAAAAATAAATAAACGTTGAAAAAAAAAATTAAAAAAAAAAAAAAAAGAAAAGTGTATGAATCCACATAAGTGTTTCCAATTCAAAAGTAAGATCAGGCTTTTAACTTAACTCCTTTACTATTGGATTTGTATCTCTTTCATACTCAGTTTCTGTCACAGCATCAATATACTACTCATTTGCTTCATATAAATCTATGTGTGTGTCTGAATAACAAACAGTTTCAAAATAATAATACCAAAAGTACTAACAACAATATTACTACTAAAACATTTGCCACCTTTTTTGCAATTCTTTTTCTACTCAGGCTGCATCTCACCTGAGACACAAATTACTGTAGTTACCCCTCAACTTATATATAGTTAAGTTCATTTGCTTCATTTTCTTTTTCATTTTTAGGACTTGCTGTTTCTTCTGAAATTCAATTCTATATTAAAATATGTGTAGGGGGCGCCTGGGTGGCTCAGTTGGTTGAGTGTCCGACTTCAGCTCAGGTCATGATCTCACAGTCCGTGAGTTCGAGCCCCACATCGGGCTCTGTGAGGACAGCTCAGAGCCTGGAGCCTGCTTCGGATTCTGTGTCTCCCTCGCTCTCTGCCCCTCCCCCACTCGCGCTCTGTCTCTGTCTCTCAAAGAATGAATAAATGTTAAAAAAAAATTTAAATATATGCAAAATATTTCTATAGTTCCAAAAGCAAAGGATATAAAATAAGGGACACTCAGAGAAGTCTAGTCATCATTTTATATTATTCCCCCATCGCTCCTTCTTCTGTGTAGATAAGTATTTTCATTACCTTTTAGTTTATGCTTTTTAAAATGTGTAATTTAAAAAATTTTTAATTTTTAAAAAATATAGCCAAAAAATATTTCCTTCCTTTCTTATGTGAAAGACAGCATACAGTACCCAGTATTCTGCCCTCACTTTTTGCACTGAGTGCATGCATGCCGGAGACAACTCCACAGCACTATGCACAACTTCTTCACTCACTGGACTCTTTCCAGTATTTTGCTATTGCAAGTAACGTTATGGTAAATAACCCTGTGCATGGGTGCGTTTATATATTTCCCACGGTACCCCTGAGACAGTTTCCTAGAAGCAGCCTTGCTAGATCAACAGGTTAATGCACATGCCACGTTGCTAGATATCACCGAATTCACTTCCGTGGATTACACCAATGTACTCTAATGGTCCCTTAAAACGTATAAAAATAGGTTTCAGTTTGCTAGCTTACGAGTGTGTTTTAATAAGAAACAAATGTACAGTAAAACCTTGGGTTGTAACTTGTTCTGCAAGCGTTCTGCCAGACGAGCAAACATTTCTAATGAATTTTAACTTGATAAACGAGCAACGTCTTGCAATATGAATAGTACATGACGCCGAACATCACATGATCATCACTGACCCAATGGTTCTTGTCTCTCTCTGCCTCTCTCTCTCTCTCTCTACCGGATCGTGGGTGATAGTCTCCCCACGGATGCTCGGTCTCAGGCCACAGTGTTCGGCAGAAACCAGTGATTTTTCAGAATGTTGGAAGGTGCCCGCAACAGGCACTAGGGTATTTTTTGTCACTTCACAGCATAGTCCTTTGCTTTTCCAGGAGAGTCAGCTTAGAAACGCTTTGCTTCATTCTAGGTCAGGCTGCCCGCAGATAGAGACCCTCTCCTCTGCAGCCTTATTGCCGGTTACATTAAATACAGTACATGGCAAGAATTTATTAATACTGTACTGTAGTCAACATCCGTTAGCGATAGTGAAAGTTGTCCTACACATTAACCCTCCTCTCTCTTGTCTCCCTCACACCAGTCACAAAGGTTTTCAAGGGTAAGTGCAGGTTAATATATTTTTCTTTAGATTTTGTATTTTCTTTATTATTTTATATAATATTACGGTATTGTAATCATTTTTATAGGCATATTTTTGGGTTGTGGAATGAATCATCTCAGTTTCTGTTATTTCTTATGGGGAAATTTGCTTTAATGTACAAATGCTTTGGATTACAAGTATGTTTCCAGAACGAATTATGCTCACAAATCAAGGTTTTACCGTACTTAATTTTAAGCAAGACATTGTTATGATATAGGGCAGAGGAGTATTGGGAGGAAAAACAAAGGTATGAAATTAAGGAAAAGAATATGAGCAAAATTCCAGAAGTAAGAAAACAAGGTCCTACTTTCAAGGAACAGTAATTATCTAATTTGAATGCTAAAGAAACAGACATTCAATGCACAGTAGTTTCTGATGCCTGCCTTCCTCCCCAACAGGACAGACTCTCCAGGGTCAACTTGTACCCTTCCTGCCCCAGACTTAGACTTAGCCACTTCTCCCAAACAAAGAGCTAAGTAATTTTCACTTTAGGTTGTATTCAAACAAATACCACACGGCTTTGATGGTCCTTTCAAAATAAAACCTGAAGAACAATAAAAATTAAAGAGTTTAACTAGTCTCAAGGCATGTTCAAGTTGTGGCCTGTATTGTTAAGGGACATCTCTCAAAGGAAACCATAAGCAAAAACAACTTTGCTGCAACAACTCTGATTTTATGCATTCCAAGTTGGTATTTTAAACAAAAAATTTCATTATACATTTTTGTACACAGCTTTCAAAAGGTATGGCCAAAGAAACGGAATCTGGTTTTATAGCAATAAGCTGTAACTATTACAATATACAGAAAACTGATTTCACTTCTACTTCAGATCAAATTATTCATTTTGAAAGTACTGATTTTTATGCCACTCTGGTGTTTTATGATCATTACCTTATAACATCATAACCCAAATAATTGAGAGTATAAGTACAAAAGTGACACATGAAAAAAAAAAAGATGGAATAATGAAGCCGAGTCCTAGCCAGCTGATTTAAGAACCCATATTAGAGGAATTCATACACACTACTTCTTAGCTTTAGAAAAATCTGAAGTATGAGAGCAACTTATAAGGCCTCCTTTCTCATTCTGTTCCCAGTACAAAAGGGGGGAGAACCTGCAAGATCATACATTTAATTTTTAAAATATCAGGCAAGGAAAAGGTCTGTGACTCTGTAAAGATCCAAAAATCTTCCTTACCTTTCGTTGTGACCACCCTTGTTCTGAATATGATTGGCTGTATGTTGTTCAAAGTAGTATTCCTCCAAGTTAAGTAGGAGCAAGGAAAATCTAAATTTGGAAAAACCAGAGCAAACAAAACAAAACCTCATGTTTATTATTTTTTTTAAGTATAAGAAAGCAGAATATTTAAAGCATCTGTTCTCAAAGTGTTTTTCCATTCATTAGATCAACAAATACTTATTAAGTATAGATCCTATACCAGAAACCCTTCTCTAGTCACTGGGAGAAAGCGACAGACAGACCTACCTGGCCAAGCCAAAAATAACACAAATAAAATTATTTACAAGTGGATTTTTTAACTCCTTTAGGAGAACCCCCAAATTTTATTTTATATTAAATTTTTTTTAAATGTTTATTTACTTTTGACAGAGAGAGAGAGAGAGAGAGAGAGAGAGAGAGAATGAGCGGGGGAGGGGCAGAGAGAGAGGGAGACACAGAATCCGAAGCAGGCTCCAGGCTCTGAGCTGTCAGCACAGAGCCCGATGCGGGGCTCGAACCCGCAGACCGCGAGACCATGACCTGAGCCAAAGTCAGATGCTCAACCGACTGAGCCACCCAGGTGCCTGAGAACCCCCCAAGTTTTTGAAATAAAACTTATTCTTGCCTGAACAAAACCTGGGTCTTTCCTATCTATGGAGTTTTCATCCTTTGTTTCCTCTGACCGACTACCAGACGTCCCCACCTCCCCTTCAAACTGCACCCCGCCTCCCGTTCTAGTGTTCCACCTTCTGGTTAGTTGGGTTTATCTTACGACTTCCACAAGATCATATGATTCTGAGAGTCAGATCTTTAGATACAGTCCAATGCTTTGGTGTTGAGTAAGTAAGTAAACTGAACAGAAGAGGACTGAAATGTAGTTCTTTTAAAAGTTTTAACTGCTTTAAAAGTATGAATTCAGTTGTATGGCCACAGAAATAAACACATGGTAAATAACTGAAAACAAGTGTTTCATCTGTTCTGTGGTGACATCGGACAACACTGGCGGCATTCTACAGGGTCAGGAAAAGCTCTCACGGGCAGTGTGGGACTGGAGGTCTGGTGGTTGGAGGAAGGTATCTCTGATATACATAGCAGATCAAGCATGTGTGCTATCTCTGCTCCACTAAAACGTGAATGAAAATATTTTTTAAATTGTAAGACCTCAGACCAAAGAAAACTGAAGAGTCACAAAGACAAGAGCAACAAATACGTAAGAAACGGAAAGCAGATGGGAGGAATCGGCAGTGATCGGAAACCAGAACGGCAGATGCCTCCAGTAGAAGGTACCAGTCGGTAGAAAACCAACTCAAGTCACAGGACTTCCAAAAAGTCCTGAAATTGCAGGAATCAGGTACCAAGCAGGTAAGGAGGAAGCATGGGGGGCACGGCCCGAAGTCTGAATGGTCAGTAACCCAGATTCCTCCCCTGATGCCTACCCTACTTCGCTCTGGCACAGGTTTTTCTAGACAAAAACTGAGTAAGAGGCTCCAAAGCAGACACCAAGCACAGTGGAGAGCAAGGCTACGTACAGCATGAAAAGAGAGTGATTAAGGAAATAGTAGGAACACATAGCCACTCCAAGCAACAGTTTGGCAGATTATTTTTAGAAAAAAAAAAAAAAACAACTAGCTTTAGAGAAAAGACCTATGGATAGGAGTACTTGAAGGAGCCGGGTCTCTACAATATCATCCCTTACTGGAGCCCACCAGAAAGGGCCTACCCACAGTGACACAGAATTACATGCTTCATGCTTAAATACGAACGGATAGCTCAAGATCACCAGGCTCTAACATGAAGGAACCAGAGCAAAACAAGCAGAAGAACACGATGTGAAGTTCTAGACATAATACAGAGAACAGGAGCTCAAAAACCTATAATATACTTACAAAAAAGCCATTACATCCAGACAACAAGACATTGCTCATTACAAAGAAAACCTGAACCAAAAGAAAAATAACTCATAAATTAAAAATAATGACAGCAGGAACCAGCTTTACCATCCTCATAGGTAACTCTTTATTAGCCTATTCTATGTCTTTAAGCCCATGAACAAGAATTAATCACTGGCTAAAATGCCAGAGCTCAAAGGCAAATGCTCACTATTAATTCTTATTCTGAAGGTGAATACAATCACAAGAGTTAGGATTGCTAGAACGGTCCTTTGATGCTTCAGATAATTTCCACGAAGGTTTAAATCAGAGACATACTTCCTAGTTACCTTGGCCCTTGTCTTTAGCTTGTGGCTTAATGACCTAAAAACCTTTGCTTGGGCTGGAGCTATCTAATCCTTCGTTCCCCTTCTTGGTCCCCACTCCTCCTCTTAAGAGAAAAGGTAAAATAAAGTAAGTATCTTTAGTAAGACAATGGCACAATTTTATTGCTATGAAGCACAAAGAACCTTCATAGACAATCGGCTCTTCCATATAACTATTAAAATATAACCCTATCCTTTGCCACAACATGGATGGATCTAGAGGGTATTAAATTACATGAAATAAATCAGAGAAAGACAAATACCATATGATTTCACTCATATGTGGTATTTAAGAAACACAACAAATGAATACAGGATAAAGAGAGAAAGAAAAAAATAGACTCTTAAATACAGAGAACTGGTGACTGCCAGAGGGGAGGGGGTGGGGGGTGGCTGAAATAGGAAAAGGGATTTAAGAATACACCTGTGATGAGCACCGAGTAATGTACAGGCTTGTGGAAAAATTATATTATACACTAAGTTTTTTAAAAAAGAAAAATAAACATATATACATATATAATCCTATCCTTAATATTGTTAAAACATCCATACTACCCAAAGTGATCTGCAGAAATCATTGCCAAATCCAGTGTCATGAAGCTTCCCTCCAAGTCTTCTAGGAGTTTTGTACTTTCAGGTCTTGCATTTTAGGCCTTCAATCCATTTCGAGTTAATTTTTGTATGCGATTTTAAAGTAAGGGCCCAACTTCATTCTTTTGCATGTGGAAATCCAGTTTTCCCAGCACCATTTGTTGAAAAGATTGTCCTTTTCTTTCTTTAAAAACTTTTTTAATATTTATTTATTATTTTGAGAGAGAGACAGAGTGTGAGCGAGGGAGGGGCAGAGTGAGAGGGAGACACAGAACCCAAAGCAGGCTCCAGGCTCTGAGCTGTCAGCACAGAGCCCGACGCAGGGCTCGAACTCCCAGACTCCAAGATCATGACCTGAGCTAAAGTTGGATGCTCAGCTGACTGAGCCACCCAGGTGCCCCATGAAAAGACTGTCCTTTTCTTATTGTGTGGCCTTGGAACACTTTTAAAGATCATTTGACATTGATTTGGCAATGATTTCTTGGACAAGGACACCAAAAGCATCGGCAACAAAAGCAAAAATAAATGAACGTGACCACCTGAAACTTAAAAACTCCTGTGCAGCAAAGAAAATAATCAACAGAATGAGAAGACAACCTAAAGAACTGGAAAGAGTATTTACAAACCATATATCTGGTAAGGAGTTACTACTCAGAATATATAAAGAACTCCTACAGCTCAACAACAAAACTTAACCCAATTTAAGAATGAGCAAAGGACTTTAATAGACACTTCTCCAAAGAAGATATACAAATGGCTGAAAAGTATATGAAAAGATACCCAATATCAGTAATCACCAGGAAAATGCAAACCAAAACCATAAATGAGAGATCGCCTTGCACACCATTCAGAAGAAGAAGAAGAAGAAGAAGAAGAAGAAGAAGAAGAAGAAGAAGAAAACAAACGTTGGCAAGGATGTGGAGAAATGGGGACCCTTGCCCACTGCTGGCAGGAATGTAAAATGGGGCAGCTGCATGGAAAACAGGGTAGAGGTTCTCTAAAAAATTAAAAATAGAACTACCACACAATCCACAGTCCCACTTCTGGGTATTTATCCAAAAGAATGGAAAAGGGGACCTCAAGGTATCAAGTGAGCATAGCCAGGCTCACTGCAGCGCTGTTTACAACCTAAATGTCCATCAATGATGAATGGATAAAGAAAATGGGATATATGCGTACAATGGAGTATTATTCAGCTTTCAAAAAGAAGGAAGTCCTGTCTTATGCTACAACATGGATGAACCATTATGCTAGTGAAATAAGCCCGTCACAAAAAAACAAATACTACAAAATTCCACTCATGTGAAGTATCTGAGGTAGTCAAACTCTCACCAAGAAAAAACAGAATGGCCGCTGCTGGGAGCTGGAGGTAAATGGAAAAGTAGAACAGCTTTTCAGGGAGTTGCTTTTCAGTGGGTACAGAGCTCCCGGTTTGCAAGACGGAAAAGTTCTAGAGATCTGCTGCACAACAGTGTGAACATACTTAACACCACTGTACTATACACTTGAAAATGGTTATGACAGTAAAACTATGCTATGTGTTTTTTACCACAATTAAAAAAAATAGTATCAACCATTATAGAACTGGAGTCATCATTTGCTAAGTAACTTGTATCCTGCTTAATTTACCAATATTCACACTTTGTAAGAAACGTAAAACACATGGTAAAGGGACAGAACCAAATTATTTAAAGTTAAAGGATGAAGGGATTTTTCGGAGTTTATTTTTCTCTCTACTGAAGTGTTTCGTTACGCCTGCTTTACAATTTTTGTATGTAAAAGTGGTTCCACTAAGGTTTCGCGGTATTTTGAACAATGACTTTTAAACCACATCCCCTGGAGGAAAAGGTTCTGTGAAATCGCTTTTATAACTAAATGATTTCTTTCCGAGGCTCTTGGCCCTGCCCCTGGGATTCCTCAGTTTAAGCACCTCTTACAGAGGTGTGGTGGGCTCTTCAGATTCTCCTGATAAATTCACTCACTCAGCAACTTAACTTTCTTGAAAAAGATGCTGTCCCATCCTCACGTCACCTAAATTTTAAAGGATACCATTCAACACTTAACCAATAGCATAACATAAGCTCACCGTAGGCAGCCCTGACGGCAACCTTGTGTTCATGCCCACTCAGCCCCTACCCAACACTCCACTGATGGAACAGTATGCATGATGGATCCAGAAGATTGTTCTAGTCGATTAGGTCTCTCGGTTGGAGCTGTACAACAG